TGTCGCAGCCGTGAGTCCTGCAAAGATTCTAGCACCCTTGACCGGCTCTGACATAATGCTGGTGACACCGATCACCAGCGTTCGCCTCACGTGTCAGAACACCTGCCGTTTTGTTCTGTCACCTGTCATTGTGGTACATCACCACTGGTCCGCCACCTATAGACGGCCCTGCTCGCAAGAGACATTGGATAGGGCGCGAAAGTGACCCTTGATCTGAGTTTTCCCGGCATTACCAACCGTGCAAAGAATAAGTGTTCAGCCCTTTGGGAACAAGGACGAATACCCTTCGGTAATGACGCCGCCACACCAAGCTCCCACGTTTGCGTCGTTGGCGGAGCACTGCACGCAGCACGGCTGGGTCGCACTCACTGCAGTTGGCCTCGTCGCTGGCGTCGCGACATCGGCCGAGCCGCTGCACAGCAGGCTGAGTGAGATGCACTCGCCGATTCCGCCGCACTTGAACTGGTCCCGGCGGCACACTGGGCGCGCACCTGCCACGGAGGAGGGCGCCGGGTCGGCCAGCCCAGTCACGGCGCATGCGGCTGCCGCTGCCGGGGATGCAGACTTCGGCGGACGGAAGGCAGCTGGAGACAGGCCGGTTCAGCGGACGGAAGGCAGCTGGAGACGGCCGGTTCAGCGGACGGAAGGCAGCTGGAGACAGGCCGGTTCAGCGGACGGAAGGCAGCTGGAGACAGGCCGGTTCAGCGGACGGAAGGCAGCTGGAGACAGGCCGGGAGGGCCTGCGACAAAACCCACCAGGTATGCGGACTGAACTGGTCCGACTCTCAAGGGTCCCACCTGGGCATGCGCTCGATATCACGGAAGAGGAAACCGAGCTATGTTCTCGGCGGCAAAAGGGTCGGGCAGCCTATCTTCAGCACCTCCCGCAAGAAAGCTAGAGAACCCGCCCGCGTCCTCGCCTTGGCATAGTCGGAGGAGGCAGCCGTGACCTCTGGACCCCGTGACCGGTGTCCTCACCTGCGGGATCCTCATCCGAGCCGTCCGGACAGTCACGGTCGCCGTCGCAGAGCCAGGCGGGGTGGATATGCAGAACGCTCCGTCCGCACACATGACTTCTGATTGGCCGCACGTGGGCCGCGGAGGCGTGGCGTTCACCGGACACTCCTGCGGACATGGCGGCCAGAGGGACTCAGAGGGGACAACTCGACGCCTGACAGCGCCAATTCCAGCGATTGGTCGTATCGAAAAACGAACGGAGGGTGGCGGAGTGCTGGCGCCGAAACGACAGGCATGTCATCGAAAACAGCGCATACGACGAGAGGCGCCACCAGCGGTCACTGCAGGACATCGAGACACGGACCTCGCAAACCTCCACGCATAATCTACCGGACAGCGACGATAGCTTTGCTCTCAGAAGCGGGAGAACAATCTCCGGGTAGAGACTAGCACCTCGGGGTGGCAGTTCAGGCTAGGGATGAGTCCGTTTCCGGGCCGAGCGCCGAGCGCCGGTCGCCGTCGACGGGCGGCCGTGTTGTTCGTACCTGTCGTCGCTGCCGTCGGTGCAGTCCCGGACGCCGTCGCAGCGGGGCCCGTCCAGCCGACGCACTCGCCGTTAGCGCAGGTGTGCTGCGAGCTGGGACTGCAGGCGGGGCCTCTGCGGAAAGAGGGACGTGTCGTTTCCGTTAGCGTCGGGGGACGTGCGAGGGCGGGTGTCGGGCGATGCACCCTCCCGGCGGTGTATGCCGTACTCGGAGGTTCACCAGTGGCGGGCGGTCGGTTCGCGCACCTGGGTGTTGTGGTCATCAGGCCACTGATGCCGTGAGCTGGTCTGCTTCTCGCCGGTGCTGTATGTGAACATGGTAGGACAGAGGACACGACACGGCAGGTGGGAAGAGAAACAAGGGGTCGTCGTAAACGAAAACTTCTAACATAAATCTATAAAATGTCATTGAATCGCCATGAACGCGGTCAAGATTGTGTAAAGGAGGATGCTGATCTCAGGGGGGGGGGGGGAATTACACTGATTTTAACTCTCTGTCAAAAGCCATCTAAGGTGAAAATGCAAAATGTGACTGTAAGAGCACGGGCAGGGGGCTGCCTTTGTGCAAGACGCCTTTGGCAGCGTAGACAGGCCAAAAAACTGTAAACGTGATTTTTGATCACTAGGTGGATAACATGCAAAAATCAATGTCACTGTAAGCTTTTGGGAGCCCATGCTAATAAGACAACAAGTACTCTCCTCTCAAGGGATCAGCAAACTTGCGCTGATGCGTTGATGGATTACCGTCCGCGCACAAGTTCCCGAATAACATGGGTGAACATTGGCTGGGTGTAAGTCTGTCCGATCCGACATTTCTAATAAACGATATTGATGCATTTGGAACCGTCTGCAATTTCGGCATTGCGACCAGGAGCGTCGAGTTGTGCAAATTGTTGTGGTTGGACGGGGATTTGGGGAGAGTGGGGGGGGGGGGGGGGGGGCTGGACGAGGACCCGACAGATTAACATCTTTCAAGTCTGTGTTTCTCAACGAATTGGGCTCAGTTGGTTAGGGTGCCTGCCTCCCAATCCACCACCCGTGGTCGGTTCGAGTCGCTGCAGGCGCTCGCTGTTTGCCCTTGACCTGCGGCCTATGGCCTGCGGCCGGCGACGGCGGTCGCACTAAAAGGTCAGGTGACGTCAGAGGGCAGGACAGACCGTGCCGAGCAGTGCGGCACGTTAAACATTCGCCACCAAAATATGCCGTTGATGTGATTTGCGCGATCGGATGGCAGGGGTTAGGACTCACACAACAAGCACTGCTTGGTGTGATCCCCGATCCCAGATATCCATCCCTTCTAAATGTTCGCCACTAAATCTTAAAAGGCAGTTGGCTGTTATAATATAAGCCCGGGCCGGGCACCCCAAACGTCACTGGCCGGCTCGGACCGGGCCACCGAAGACGCCCAATGTCCGATTACCCGGACGTTGGGGCTAGCGCGGTCCGCGGGCTCGTCGAAATTCCTTTTTAAGTGTGGTGAAATCCCATACATGGCATCACGAGAACCATATACCAATGTTTACTTGCGTCGAAACGAAAACAAGGCTGAACAGCCTGGAGAATGTTATGCGGCAACCGAGCAAAATGCGTAAGTTCCGAACAGAGATCACAACAAAGAAGACCCATGTTTCCCCATTGCCAGCACTGCAAAGGCATTTTACGCTATGGGGTAAGACCCTTGCAATCCGCGCCGCATTCGGTGATAAACGAATGCAATCGCAGCAATGCACTGTCCACGAGGCGTCCTGTCAGATGCTCTGCCGTCTCGGGAAACCGCGACAGGACCTGGCGGTGTCCGGGAACTCCCGAGCAGTGCTGAGCGACGTTCCTTTGGGGCGCTCGCTCGGCATCGGAATCGAAATGCAAATGTGAGATTGCCCGTCCGCCAGATAAATGGAGCTGAACTGAGGGCATGTATTTCCGACATCAGGAAAAGAGGGATGCCAAAGGTTGGCGTGACGACAGCAATATGGAACGTGAAATTGCATTGAAAAAAATAAAGTCGCACGGTTTCATTATGTGACACTCATGCATCCAGTTCAGTGGACGTTACATCTGGACATCGCTAGGTGTGCACACTCGTATACAAAAACGCGCTCCTCTATGCTGGCGCCAAGGTGGGACGCCCGCAAACCCAAGCCGCAGTTCAATGCCGCGGCTGCCTGGGTCTCTGAGTGATGTTCGGTGGGCAGATAAACAGACAGACAGACAGACAGACAGACAGACAGACAGACAGACAGACAGACAGACAGACAGACAGACAGGCAGACAGACAGACACATAATCGTGCTCACCTGGCAGTCCCTCTCGTCGGACCCATCGCCACAGTCATTGTCTCCATCGCAGGCCCAGCGAGCGTTGATGCAGTTGCCGTCGGCGCACGCAAACTGGTCAGAGCTGCATGTCTGGGCTGAAGGACATACCGGACACGGGGTCAGCCGGGGTCAACGGGTCCCGCGGGTGATAGTCGACGTAGAGGGTCCCGCGCGAAGGCAAGCTGGGCCAACTGGTTCCGCAGGGGCATAGCCGGGGTCAACAGGTCTCAGCGGTGGCAGTCAGGGTTAATTGGTCTCCAGGGTGGCAATCATGCTAAAACCGTCCTCGCGGGTTACCACTGGGGTTGAAGTAAATAGTCGGCCCGGTCGGTGCGCTCTGCGATTTACGAGTCAGACGTTGTTCCACGACAACGGTTTAGATGAGATGACCGCCGGTGGTAGCGAGGTGCCCCTCACGCGAGCCAACGCACGCGATAACACGCGTTACCATAACACGTACTCTGTAAGTACACGTGAACGAAGAGGACAAGTTCGCACTAGACAGGACCCCTTGGTGCTATCCTATGCTGAGTCTCGCTATGGTATAGCAGGCTGAGTGTTGATGACGTCATTCTTTGTGGAAGTTGTAATTAAGAGCAACGTTGGCTGTTTGCATCGCGGTTAGCTCGGCGTAATGGCCTGGCGCTCATTTCTGTCAGACAAGTCGACGTAAGCACAGCGAGCTAATTAACTGCGAAGTCAGCCAAATGATGGAAGATATAATCCCATGTGAAATTGAGGCCAGTTATAATGCCAGAGTCAGGGACACCATCTAAATCAAATGCCAGTGCGCTGGCTAATAATAGAATCTGGACGCGCATTAAAACCCGCCTAGCCGGCCAGCGCAGTGCAATAGAGCACTGGCCAGCGCAGCGCAAAAGGACCACTGACCAGCGCAGCACAGCAGAGCACTGGCCAGCGCAGTGCAATGGAGCACTGGCCAGCGCAGAGCAATTGAGTACTGACCAGCGCAGCACAACAGAGCACTGGCCAGCGCAGTGCAATAGAGCACTGGCCAGCGCAGCGCAAAAAGACCACTGACCAGCGCAGCACAACAGAGCACTGGCCAGCGCAGTGCAATGGAGCACTGGCCAGCGCAGTGCAATAGAGTGCTGACCAGCGCAGCACAACAGAGCACTGGCCAGCGCAGTGCAATAGAGCACTGGCCAGCGCGTCCGGGCGTGGGTTTCCACCGTTGTGATCAGACGCCACGAGACTTACAGCAGCCGTCCTCGTCGCTGCGGTCGGAGCAGTCGGCCTGGCCGTCGCACCGCCACGACACCGGGATACACTGCACGGTCGTCTCGTTACGGCAGCGGAACTGGTCGTCCCGGCAGAGGCGCGGGCCTGAAACACACAACGCCGTCCGTCAGTTCCGTGGGCCGATTCAGCGGAGTTTCAGTCCCGCGGGTCTCTCAGTTCTGCGGGTTCTTCAGTCCCGCGGGCCGCTCAGTCCCGCGGGTCTTGCAGGCCTTCAGTGTCTGACTGCGCCGCCATCCCGCCCCATGCGTCCCTGCCCAGCCCTTCCAGGTTGGGTCATGTAACACGGCCAGGTCACCGGCAGAAGCCCCTGGAGTCACGGCGGGAACTGGGGACGTTTGAAGGGGGAGGGGGCAGGGGCCAGCTGGAGCAGGCGGCAGGGCCGTGGGCTGGCCGCCGGACCGACACCCACCGCAGAGGCGCGGGTCCTCGTCGCTGCCGTCGCCGCAGTCGTCGTCACCGTCGCACCGCCAGCGTTCGATAATGCAGCGGCTGTTGGCGCAGCGAAACTGGCCGCTGGAGCACGAGCCGCTGACTGTGGGAGGGGCGGAGGGGAGGTCAGGTCGGGTCACCGGTCCCGGGCCGCGCCAGAGTCGGCAGGCCGCGCGGCAGCGGCAGTGCGGACAAGAATGCGTCGGCCCGGTGTTGAAGTGCTCTGATCGGAATGCACAGACCTCATCAAAAAATGGTTATTTGAAAAACAAATGTTGATGATATTCTGCTCATCGCACTGTCACGCTTGAACGTGTTGGCTTGCTCCATCGGTATTCAGCAAACCATGTTTAAGGCAACTCTCAATCCCTTATTTAACTCTAAGATGTTGCAAGCGCTTGATTAGCGCATCACACTCCGAATAAAACATTCAGCTGCTTATTTTTTCAACTCCTTGATTTGTTCCAATCTTACGGACGGCACACGAACTGGTAAGTATTCAATCACCTCGAGCTGTTCTTGGGTGTCCCTTAAGTTAATGGATTCGCCGCATTCATATTCAAACGATTCAAATAAAAAGTGAGGGTTTGACGATGACAGCCAGGCTTTCTCTGGATTTTGAAAACATGAAGGAAACTGTCTTGGACTCAAGGCTCGTAGCGTTGTTTTGCAGCTTAAAAAGGAGGTACTGAGGGTACCCAAAAGGACTTGCACAGATGGCATACCCTCTCACGTCGCGCAAGCACGATTTTCAAGTACGTGGCAGTGCTGGCGCTGCTCTGAATGTCGTTCAGCTTCAGCCTCGGCTGGGCTAGCAGGGGCCGAGAGAAAGCATGTTCGCAAAATCCATCCCTGACGCCAAATCCCATCATCCATCTCAGCGCCGTCTTGGATATGCAATTTTGTGCGGCATCCCTCGTGTCGGCAGCGGGGCCGTCAAGGCAGAGACAAGAATCCACCATAGTCGCCGCAGCACACCGCCTCTGGCGCCGGCACCGGCACGGGCAGTGGCTGTCTCCAGTCGGCTTTGATCCAATGACGCCGCCACAATCAGCCCCACGGCGCGGATCTCCGGCTCGATACCGTGCCGTCCGAAGGCGCGTACTGGTTCCCAGCATAATGCACCCATCCATCTCGAAGGCGCTGGAGGTGATAGCGCCGCAGCGTTAACGTAACAGGAACGTTCCACCGGGGCGTCCGAGCCAGACTGTGGACGAACTTCCGACAGCGCTGGAGGCGATAGCGCCGCAGCGTCAGCGTAACAGTAACGCTCCACCGGGGCGTCTGAGCCAGACTGTGGACGAACTTCCGACAGCGCTGGAGGCGATAGCGCCGCAGCGTCAGCGCAACAGTGACGTTCCACCGGGGCGTCCGAGCCAGGCTGTGGACGAACTTCCGACAGCGCTGGAGGCGATAGCGCCGCAGCGTCAGCGCAACAGCAACGTTCCACCGGGGCGTCCGAGCCAGGCTGTGGACGAACTTCCGACGGCGTTTCCGAGCGTCGGTTCCGGTCTTGGCTTCCACCGCGATTGCGGCGGGATTTTCCGGGGCGATTATGCAAACCAGCAGACCTTGGGCGGCGGAGCGGCGCCCGGGCTTACTGTCCGGGGGAGCAGGGGCCGGCCCGTGGAGGGCCTACCCGGGACGGAACCCGTATCGCACTTTCCGGTCATGACATCGTTGTCTGTGATGCTCCTCGGACTAAAATCATTGTCAACTTCAGGGGGTGTCTTTCAGGGCGCTGGTGTCTCCACCGGCATGGCCGGCTTGCTGTGTGTCAGGATAATCTTCGGTGTTCCGTGAATATTATTTTAATAAACCTCATTTGTAAAAACGGTTCCGTACTTTGCGGATGTCTGATTTTTCTCCAAGTACTATGATTTATTACGTTGCCAGTTCCTACAACAGTAATCTGACTTTTGCAATGTTCCTGAACACTGTGCGTGCCAACAGTCAAGGCGACGCTGATTTTTCAAAAAGATTTTATCTGGAACCCGACCGTCAAGTTCCAAGCCAACAGCAGAACTTGGTGGCGAAAGTTTGACGCACCGCAATGCTCGGCACGGTCCGTCCTGTCCTTCGACACACCTGACCTTTAAAGCGGCGGCTGCCACCGCCCTCAGGCCATGCCTGTCAAGGGCAACGGATGAATGGAAGAGCGAACGAACATTATTGCATAACCCAGCATGGAAAATAAGATACAAATGGGCGAATCAATAAATCAACCGCTATATTCATATAAGGAACGGCTGTAATTCGATAAATCACCCGCTGTAATTCAATAAATCAACCGATGCAACTCAAATGAGGGAATTCAGGCTAAATCCAGGCATGAATCGTGGATGGAAAATATTCAGACACCCGTAAAGAGGTAATGCACTGAGGTTAAGCAAGGCATTCATGCTTGGGGCTGCACTAGTCATCTGCTTCATAAGATCACTGGAATCTTTGAATGCTAAAACTGCATGTTTTACGGATTCAGTCTCCCTTGTGGGCAGAATTTAAGAGATATCATCTCCCACCTTCAATGTTTGTCATTTTGCAGCCCGCCGGAGTTTAGCCTTACTTGATGGACGAGGCCAGGCTTGGAGAATCGCTCTGAAAGTCGGGGTGTTAGGGATGCCTGGGCCAGAGGCCAGAGCCAGAGCCATGGGCCAGAGGCCAGAGCCAGAGTCATCGGCCAGAGGCCGAATCTGCGGGCGGTAAGTTAGCCTCGGCCCAAAATCTAATCTATTTCCAGATGTCGGTAATTTCATGCTGTGCTCTCGGAATAATTTGTTTTAAGCATTTGCTGCATGGCAGTTTCCAATTTTATAAAAGCTTACGTTTTGCAGAGTATCGTGCTGTAAAACACATGGGTTTTGTTTGCGTCCTATACCGAGTATCGTTGCTGGTATTGCATCAATAAACACGGGCATCGGCACCAAATCCAGTCTTTTCTTGCCTCTTGCCTCAGCCGTCAGCTCCATGGAAATTACGGTTTTCCCTGTTCAAGGTCCTTATGTGTCTTGCTATCGTTCCAGTGCTGGCCGAAAGGGCTCTTATCGATGTTAACACCGAATGTTAAAAGTCCTGTCAACCGCTTCATTCATAATATTTCATGGAATATGTTGATACTTATCATGGTGAACACAGAAAACGGTCTACCCAAGTAACGATGCATGTCACCAGTGCTTTTGACCTTGAACGTCATGTGGCCATTCCACGTTAACTTGAAAATTGATGTGGCCCGCGCAGCATCTGTCATTTGCGTTTTGCTCTAACATATAGGCGTGAAAGCATACATCAGACGTTTCGCCGGCACTCAGCATCGATCCGCCGCTGGGCCCGAAAAGCTGTCAGACAGCCTTACAACAGTCGAATGGAAGCCGTGATTACATTATTCGTTCCGGATAGACAAAAGGAAAACATAACCTTCGTCGCGGCTTGGCCCATATCCAGACGTCAAACATCACTGGCACTTTGAGCTTCTCCTTTCCACCTCTTACAGACAGACTACTGCGCCTTTCTGTCGCTACAGACAAAAACAGCAAACATAAAACGCAAGGCCGAGCTATTAAATCCGCTTATGAGACGTGGTGGCAATGCTGACGTCACCACTATGTGCTCGTGGTGGGCGTGTGCGCTACGGGGTTCGCGTGGCGGCTGCTCTGGCGTCCGTCACAGCGCCATGCGCGGGGCTAAAGGTCGCTAGCCGCCCAGAAGCCCCCCAGCTGCTGAGCGGGGTCAGGCACATTTCGGTACTTTTGGCTGGGGGCGGGTATGATGTGCAGCATTATGTGAATGGTAGCTACAAGTTAATCTAGTACTTTACTATCGGTCTGGAAGCTTCTGAACGTTTTCCTGGACTGGTTGGTCCAGAGGGGCATGGGTGTCGTCCAGTGGCAATGCTTTTCGCGCGCGTAAAATATTCGTGAGCTGGATATTTGCGACCATCGATACTTAGATGGAAAACATTTAATTTCCCATGAGGTAATGTTTGCAGCTGATATTGGTTATATCATGCTTTTTGCGGGCCAAATATTTTTTATATGCGCTGTGAGCTTTTATAAACCTTAACATTTGTTAAAGATAAAAGCCAGTACGTTACAACACGCAAAATGGCGCAGCTAGTACCGTGTTGTAGATTTCAATCAGCATGGGTATCCTGATTGAGGCGAGCGCCCTGGAGTGATGCTTGCATGCCACGTTGTTGCGGCAGCTCTGCGATGAGCCGGGCTGCTACATGCAGACATTTAGGCTGTCTATGAGCGGAATGACCAGAAAGCATCGCAGAGAGTCTGTGGCAAAGCATATCTGTCTACCACGTCCCGGCTGCTTTCCACGATTAACACCACACTATGCACCATCGCACCGGCCAGCAACTCAGAAGATTCACAAGGTTGTTGCACCCGATCATCTCGCAGGCCCTCTTCACAAGGTTGTTGTACCCGATCATCTCGCAGGCCCTCTCGAATGCTCCACGACATTACTTTCCACTTCTGAACGGAATCAGAGTTTCCGTTTGGAATGCACATGCAAGGAGCAGCAGCGTGGGGATCAATGCGATCCCCACATGCAAATGTGGCTGAGCTTTGAAAACAATATGCTTGAGCTCATTTCTATCTGTTCTTCAATCTGGATGCTTCATGTCCTTCCCCTACCCCGTAAAGAGGTTAAGCATTTGTCTGTTAGCATCCTGAAACACTCGGCTCGGTTGCATCGCCCCGATCAAGAATATAATTGATTTGACGTTGAGCGTAAGTCGTAAGTGGCTTACACGTGACGAAAGCGTTTCCAGGACTTTCAGGCTAAAAGCTTTAAACACACTTGACTAAGGGCAAAAAGTGGGACGCTGAAAATCACGTTTGCTATTACAAAGTTACATGGCGCATCCCCATTTAGCTTGGGCTGCTGGAATGCACCCGCATAAACAGACTTTGGCACTATTCTAAAAATAACATATATTTTTGTTAAGGAATTCATGAGCATAAACATTCACTCAAAAGCAAAGAGCATGGACCATATTCCAGTACGACATAACTGCCGATTCTGAAAAACGTCCTGCCCTGAAATGTAGAGCACGACACACCGTTCATGCTTAGATCACATTGGGGAGGGGGAGGGGGGTCAGCCCGAACATAATGCTGGAACAGGCCCACATGCGCACATCCCGTTCTTTCATCCCTCGCTGTTTTAAACACTTAAGCAGGCCATGCCGCTCACATTGCCGGTGGTGGGTCGATTGAGCAGGAGCTATCGACGGCAGTGGCGGTGAAGTCTGACAACAAACCTGTTTAGCGATGCCATCCAGTCATGATGACGTCAAGACATGCACACGTTGCAAGGAGGGGTGCGGTGATGACGCTACGTTGGCCGTCTGCAGAGGGCAGAGCAGATTCGGCGGTCGCATGTCAGGCCACGATGGTAAACTGATACGCACTGACCAATTTTTGTGCCATATGCTCCGTGTGCGGGATAGCTCGAGGCTTGATGAGAAGCCTGGCGAAAACACGTGACTATTGCACAAGTTAAAGGAATGTCTGCTCTTATGTAGGTACACAGCACTGAGTGCCACTACGGAAATATGCACACTTGCCCATCACAACCACGAGCCCTGCCGCTTATCTCAACGTTAACAGCATTGTCTGCGTGCGGGATGCCCGGACTGCCCTGGGCCCAGAACGCCCCTGAACCGAGAGCGTCTGTAGCGGAGCTCGTGGTCCCCGGGGTGGGCTCGACCGCACGAGCTGCAGCCGAGCTCCGGCAGCCCACTCACCGGCCGGTGTCAGCTGGGCCAGCTCCGCCTGCATCAAACAGGCGACCAGCGGCGCCAGCAGCCAGGTCACGTAGACGGGTCCCATGACGGTAGCGGCGCCCAGACGTCACGACACCGCTCAGCTCACCCCGGCCCTCTGTCACTGCCGGTGGCGGCGACGCGAGCCGACTTATAGCGGTGCTGTCTTGGCCGGGGGCGTAGCAGGCGCGCGCACGTGGGGCAGCGGCTCGGCGGCGGCGCGGCGGAGGCGCGCGCCGGCTGACGGCCGGACGCCGCCGCCGCCGTCAGCGCGCCGGCCCGCTGCGGCCGGGGGGGGGGGGGGGAGGGGACGTCCCGGACGGCCGCCGCCCGCCGTTCGCCGTAGCGTGCCGCGGGAAGGGGTGAAGCCGGTGACGTAGGTTTCGTTTGAATGCCTCGTGAGCTCGCGATGCACGGCTTGGGTGGTGGGACAGGAATGCAAGAATGGCTACGAAAGACGCCGCGGGCCAAGCGGGACTTACGTGAATTATGAGAAATGTTGATGAAATGACAGGAGCGGCCCAGCTCCGTCGGCCGTCACGCTTTCCAAGATTGAGAGCTTTTTCGTAATTGATCCCAGGCTTGCCCATGGTACTCAGCGGCAAGAAGCACAATTTCTTAAAAGCTGTGCTGTTCAGCTGTTGTCGAGCACTTGCCGGCAAACCTAGTGATCAGACAATTTTTTGACGCATTGAAATATCACCATTTTGCCTCTTCCATGCAATTAACACGGTAAAGGTCCAACTTGAAAATAACAAAAAGAAAATTTACTGGGTAGCTTGAAGCAGAGTTCAAATTTAGACGACCTAGTGTCACAGTAACATGAACCTAACTAGAACCCACAGTGAAGAAAATAGACAAACGAGCTGGCCAAAAAGGATGGTCGACGTTTGCAGGCCAGCTCCTGTCACCGTGTGCTTAGCATAGATCTTCCCGTGTTTTGTCGTCTTGAAGGATTAAGATCAGTATTCCACCTTTTGTACTTTTCACGTATCGCTACACTAGACGCGTGTGGTTTGGCCACCAATATCAGTTTTCCTAGAATCCTTCTGAGCAGCTCAGAATTTAGTTTTGAAGTAGCCGACTCTACGGGAGAAATCTCATCTGACTCACTTTAACGCTGTGGAAGTTATGCGTTTAATTTCCCGTGCCTTTTCTGTTGCACGTGTTCCGTAATGTTTGCAGCACACTAATGTGTCAAAAAGTTTGTGAAATAAATGTTATGAAAGCTTGAAGCACGCTGTTTAAGTAAAAATTATGCGGGCATGAAGCCATTATCTCGCGAATTCAACGAAACGTTATAATATGACTTTGATTCGTCCCCCATGGCGTTTAACACACTTGCTCTTTCCGAACCGCACTTTGGCTGTGGGAATGGTTGTGCAAATGACAAACGTTCTTTCGTTTGCACCAGTAGAGGTGCGCACGGTAGTTGTCATGACGCCGGTGGTCGCATTCGCAGGCAAGAAGTGTAGTGGTGTTCTGAAGCGTTGACAGCCTTATTTGGGGTCGAAAATCGATACCCTTATCATGCTTTGACGGTGATGCGGTGGCACACTCAGTGCTATTATTAGATGTAACTGATCATGACGTTTTACTAGAGTATCTTTTGACATATGCCCTAAAGGTAGGGCACTCTGTAAAATCAGACCTCAACCAGCGCAAATGACGATGGTAAACTAGCCGCGCGGTGTAGGCAAACGTACTAGCTGCGACCCATCGGTACATCTCTGTCGGGCCTACAGAATGTGTGCTAGTAAGCGACTGCAAAACGAACCACCTCTCGTTCTTCGAGACTCCACACGAACAAATGACGTTGCGATTTAAATCGAGGGAGCTGGGCCTCGAAGACAACTCGGCCGCAAATCTCCCATCAAAGCTCGTTATGACCAGTTTCAATACAGAACATTTGCGTTATTGGTTTTCCTGCTGCCACATTAGACACAACGAAAAATAATTGCACATTCATCGATGCCATCGATAATTTCTAACGAACCCTGCCAAAACACGCAGCAGAAGCTCGGACGCGGGTGTGTTGCAAGAAACGAATTTTCGAGGCCATGCGTCGGGCGGTTAGACACGGGAAGCGAGGCCATGCGTCGGGCGGTTAGACACGGGAGGTGAGGTCATGCGTCGGGCTCTTAGGCACGGGAAGCGAGGCGATGCGTCGGGCTCTTAGGCACGGGAAGCGAGGCCATGCGTCGGGCTCTTAGACACGGGAAGCGAGGCGATGCGTCGGGCGGTTAGACGCGGGAAGCGAGGCGATGCGTCGGGCTCTTAGACACGGGGGGTGAGGTCATGCGTCGGGCTCTTAGGCACGGGAAGCGAGGCCATGCGTCGGGCGGTTAGACGCGGGAAGCGAGGCGATGCGTCGGGCTCTTAGACACGGGAGGTGAGGTCATGCGTCGGGCTCTTAGGCACGGGAAGTTTATCGCTTTTGAAATGCCACCTTAGCGTGCCCTAAGGTGAAGGAATTCAATCTTTTGATCAGGTATGTTGTAACGGATTTGTGACTGGCGTTGAAAATCGTGGGCTTGTGGTGCATCTATTTGGAGGCTGGAGCGAAATAAAGTAAGGGAGTGCACCGTTACCCCGTCCCCCTCCCTCCTTTCCAGCAAACAGCGGCGAGTTTATGCCAGCTAACCGGAGATCGTGCGTCTTCAGCAGCCCGGCCCTAACTGGCCCGGCCTGGCCCAGCCCGGCCACTCACGTCTTTACCAAGCTTGTGTCTCTCCAACCAGTGGCTGGGCTGCCATGTCGTTTGCAGCAACAAATCGCAATGTTCTTTTAAAGGATGTTCTGTAATATTCGCATGGCACTTGTAAGCAAGCCGATCGATCCACCATGTTTTTGTTTTGTTTTTTTATTTTTGCCCATTGCGATGTCGTTTGGCTGAAACAGACGTGGACCGAAACAGGCAGCCCGGGGTACAGTGACACCAGTACGACACCGTTTGATGGGGAGATCATGGGCACATTTATGGGCAAAGGTTTTGGTGTATACGTGCACCTGGCCACGCGCTCTTGAACACAAACTTTATGTCGCCCGCGTAGGAAGTTCTAAGGGTGCCAGAAGGTACCGGGAGAGTGCCAGAGGGCAACGGAAAGGATTGCTGTTCCCTTTAAGCTCGGTTGGTAGAACACTGGACTCGCAATCGGAAGACCAAGGTTCCAATCCGAGCAGTGAACTCGTGGAGAGAACTCAGGGAGAGAACTGGTGACGCCGAGACGCACACACGGCTGAAAGCCAAACACTATTCAGGCCTTGTCAGGACTCGGTAACACACCACGACGGCCGGAGCAGTAGCTGGCTGAGACGTTATATACAAACCAGCACACCAAACAAGAGCGCTAGTCCGAACAATTATTCCATTCGTTATACTGGCATCTCGTCTCAGCCCTCCCATAAAACCTAAGAAGATATGGGGGTTCCAAATAAGGGAATTTAAAGTGTAAAATAAAAAGTAAGTGATCAGCAAGGGTAGAGAACGCAGAGAACTTGTTTGACGCGCACGAACGTCCACGGTTAGGCGTTTCAACATCAGGGATCACATTAACGCCTGTTATTTTTTCACTCGCGCCATTTAGCGAGGCCGGGACGGCTACTGGTGTTTATTTATAAATTATTACTAGTTAGAGGTCGAGAGAGTTGTTTGGACTACGTAAACGTTTTCGGCTTGAACGGCCGGAGCCATCCACGTTGGGCTTCATGATTTCTAGAATTGATGTCTTTCCGATGCTTTATTGTATCACATTGGACAGTGCACCGCTATGCCACTCGCTGACAGCCATGGCCTGACTTTGACCTCCCATAGGGGAGTGATCTTACAACGTGCATCCAATTTTTACGTGAAAACGTAACCTAGTTTTCTACAGCCATGCAAAGTTTGACATAACTACGCCACGCCTTTCGGAAATTATTCTGGAAAAAAACTTTGAGGGATGCGAATTGAGCCCCCACCCACCCGGGTCATGGAAGATGTTGGGAGGGATTTGGGTCAGTCGAATTCTGAGCTCCATAAAAACAAAAGCTGCTCATTTCACTGGCTTTGCCAGCATGTCAAATGTTGTACACAGTTTTTATTCTCCAGTTGTTTTCATAGCTTGAGCTAAGTGGTCTCTGTTGAAACCAAGCTAAGATCCAGATCTCGAGCTGCAGAATAAGGTCGGCTACAGTGTTGAGGTACTCAACATTTCCGCACTGATTCTGTGTTCAGACGAAGCTGCCATATAATATTGCTGCCTATAGTATATTGTTTATGAAAGGGTGTGTCTGTTAGTTTGTATGTTTGTCTGTTTTAGTTCTTACTTGTTGGTCTGCGTGTAGGTTGGAGAGATTGCTCCATATTTGCATGGAGTTTTGAATCGAGATAGTCATCTTGGAGATCATCCATCGTAATTCACTGCCGTGCCCATAGTAAGATCTCAAGCCGTCTTGCTCTTAAGCTTGACTCATGTGCAGCTGTGCAGCTTTTTCAAGCAGCTAATTTAAAGGCCACCCAAACATAATGGCCATCTAATGTTCCAAGCCAAGAAAAATAAAATCATCGAGTTATTCGTGTCCGACGTTCGTAAACACGATTCCTGACATCAACGGGCAGAAGTTGCCCTGCAACCAGTCAAATGCGTTGAGCACGAGCTTCGAACACGATTATTGGCTATTTTGTTAACTGGACTAGAGCCTTTTCGGAGAGTCATGACAATATCAGGGCTATGGAATGTAGGATAGTGGATGGCGGTGGGGTAGGACTGCACGCACCTGGGGACCCATCTGTCACGATCGAGCCCATAGAGGGTGCTCTCAGCGGGAGTGTGCTCGGTGCTCGAACGGGCGTCACCATCAGGGGACACTTCGGATCGCTCGTGGCTAGCGCATGCGGCCTCCCTCGAACAAGCGTGGCGTCGCGAGCATGCGGGATAAAGCGAGAAACAGGGTAATAGGGCGCATTGTTCGAGCCTGAGTGACGTTTTGTGATGCATCATGTACCACTTTGGGCAGTGGTACTAGTTATGATGGTAATGAGACGCGAATAAAAAAAACTCAAGAATGACGCCGTAACCCGGCGTGTGAATGACAGCAATGACAGCAAAAACATAAAACCACAGGCAAACA